ATGTAAAGCTCAGGCACAACCACATAAAAAAGGTTAGGTGCCTCAAGGTACCGAAACACTGAACCGTCGAACCAGGACGCATAGCCTGGCTTTACCGTTCCACGATGCTCCTCGTTGTGCTATGTGACGCATTGTAGGCGACCTCCGCTGCTGATGACGGAGACAGGAAGGGCGTCATCAGCCATGGCTTGCAGGTGTAGCCGCTGTCTCCAAGCAGTAGGCCCTCGTAAACGCCATCGGCCAGCTTGCCTGACGAGCCCTCGGTGAATATCCTAGAGTCGTGGGTGCTTCCAGGCCATTTCGCAACCACATTGCGGATACGGTAAAAGACGTTAACCACTAACTGTACATTTATTGAATGGTACAGATGGCGGTTAACGTACACCTCCTCATGCACTTGTGGTGCCTGTATCCGAATGTGAGTGCCATCAACAGCACCCACGACCGAAGGAAACCCACCAATCTCAAAGAAGGCCTGTTGTAAGGCATGACCCTCAGCTTCACCTGGCCACCTGCATTGTAGATGGATTTGAGTGAGTCTGTAGCACTATGACATTAACAGTGACAGTTTTGTTGTTATGACCACATGCTTCAAAATAACACAGCTATCATTCATCGTCATCAATAGTGAGCAATAAAAGCCTCGTCTGCACAATGACAGTACTCAGTAGCCGCAAGACTAGCTCAGTAGCAACAAGTGCATAGTTGGGAGTGCAGAAACCAGGCTGTTTGTAAATGTCTGCACTCCTACTTTATTTGTAGATTAGTTGAATTTGCACCTGCACCAATAATAGGTACTAAGGGAGTCATTTTGTACACTCCAGTTGGTTCGTGTAATTTTACTGCCCAGTTCACTGGTCTGCATGTCACGCTCATTAGCAAAAAACAAATATCGAGTGCTGAAGCAACACTTTTAATGATCCTTTAGGGAGGTACCAGTATACGTGGGGATCGATGCGCTGGCAGATATTCAGGCTAGCAAGCCTACAGCTTAGGAAACAAATCGAAAGGGTCATTGCGCAGGTGGTGCGCCGTAAATAAATTGCAGAATAGGTGTGCGGAGAAGACCACCTTTAACGAATTCGGGGGTTTCAGCGAACACAATTCACGCACCGAAATTTCTATACAAAGGGTTTCTGAAATAATGGTGATTGCTCATCGAGCAATCTAGGCCCAGGCTTTTTTTCTCGGAAAACTGGCCTGCACATGCGCCTAATATCGAGACGCACCAGAGATGCTCCAGACCACTTACCCTATAAAGTCTTGGGCACGACGTGCCAAGGCCTGAGTCACCCGCCTCACAGTCCGCGAAGCAGTGGAGACGTGCACACGGATGTAGTCCCCTGCGGTGATGAGGAAGTTCCCCGTGGCGTAGAACTGTAAGGCGACAATGACCTGCTGCTCTGCAGAGAGGGCGCGGCTGCGACGCGTCGGCCGCTCCAAGTCCGGGCGCAGTGTGTCGGCGAGGAACACAATGCCCGCGCGACCGATTCGAAAGCGCTCCTGCAGTTCGTCCTCATCGAACTCCTCCAAAGGGTTCAAGCGGTCACGGAACACACGCTGCCGTCCCATCATCACAACAGCGTACTGGGCGAACACGCGCTCTCTTCGGTGTCGGCGTCGCGTCACAGTCGACATTGCGTCCCTTCACCAATCCGTCCGCAAATCAGTTGTCAGTCAGTCCGGTAGTCAGTCGGCGAGCGAGTCGGAGGGTCGGTTGGGCAAACGGCAGGAGAAGACAAACAGTGAAAATCAGGTGATAACTAAAGCGCGGGAAACGTGCGTCGCAAAACACGGAGAACAAAACAACCAAAAACAACGAATCTATAAAGACCGTTGCCAGACCCGAAATCAACGCTGCAAACTTATGCTGTGTTTGGCGGCACAATAGATGCATCAAGATATTTATTATTTTTTTAAAGTACATATATATTTTCATGCATAAAAAGAAACATTGTGATACGATGTTGTTTTTATTTTTCTTAATAAAGACAAAACTAGCAAAACCGTTTCTTAAAAGGCTATTGTTTGCTTCGACCGGAAGGTGGCGGGAGCTACCGCATAATAATAAAACACGGAGAAATTGTGCGTCGAGTTTTTGTCGAACGCGGCTAGGTACTCGGATGTACCTAGGTAGGGAAACGCGGTTAACTTTTAACCGCGGTTAGAGTTAACCAGCTTCGAGCAAACGGGCCCTGTACGCCGGGCGCCAAGGGCCGAGAATCTGCCAACTGAGCGGTCACACTCTCTGAACAAAACAGAGTTTGAGCGGCACATTCATTACAGCTTTCTGCATGATCAATCGAAACATCACATGCACCCTATTTTCAACCATGAAGGGTGACTACATTGAACTCTTGCGCGCTTATTGAAACTAGGGGTGTCGCGAACTTTTGTCGAACCAGATTTTTAGGTCGAACTTTCGGGGTTCGACTGGGTCGAACCGGTTCGACGAACCTCCGAACTTTTTCCATGATTCGACCGGTTCGACTTTGTGGACACTGTGGCCAGACCTTGATACAAGTATGTCTAGGTTTGGAGAAGTTTTTTTTTATGCTAAGGGTTATTTTATTTTATGAACAGTTAAAATAAAAGAAACCAATTCTAATCACTGAAGAAGTTAATAACTTAATCTTTTTGTACTGCATTAACTGAAATAACCAATCCGTGCTGCCCTTAATTCTCCCCTTAGCCATCACCATCCAATCCAAAGCCAACTGGCCAGCCTGTCGCGCATGCGCACACGAGTCGAACCTCAATACAAGGTTCGTCGAATTTTCCACTAAAGGTTCGAAAAAGTCGAACCTGGTCGAACTCGAACCTCGGCCGGTTCGCGACACCCCTAATTGAAACCATATACCTATGATTGAAACTGTTTCCCGCTACCACCGCTAGGGGATTCTTTTCGGCTTCTGGTTGGCCAAGAGAGCATGTCAAGCCCTCTTTCTGCTTCTGGTGCACGCCCTGGATCTGCCCGCACCTCCCATTGACCAAACTCTCTCTATACTCGGCTCTGGAGCCAGGTTATGCGGACTGCTATGAGGTCGCTTAATAAAATTTTGTTAATCGGTTGCGATCTGACTTTGGAGTGCATGCATCGCGACGCCTCAACCGAGGCCAAGACACCATGCTGAGGGGGGCAGGGATGCAGTGAGGAAGGCAGGTCTTTGGCATTTAACCGAGCAGTCCGACATGAATGCTACCTCTTGAGCAGAGCTAGCTGCCTCTGCTCCGGCCATATCCCATAGAAATTCTGGCACATTGATACTTTAGACCCATGTTGCAGTAAAAAAAAACTATCTCCAAACTCCGGTCTAAAAACATGCTTTTCGTGCAAGGCTCGTCAAATTATGAGGCGCTGGAGAAATGCAGCCTTCTGCGTTAAGTCCCTATTTCGAACTCTTTTTGTTCGCCTTCCGCCCATTGAAAAGCAAGCGGGAAGGGCTTCAGAACGCACCTGGTATCGCTGCGCCGCAGCGTTCTTCCGCATCAAAAAGTTTGTCTGCTTTCCTCGCCGTCACCATGGCAACGAACACCGAATGAATAGAAGCACGCACGGTACCGTCGCGTGAAGCTAGCAACAGCTGACGCCATTTTACGAACGCCGTCTACTAGCCAAAGCCGAACGCGGTGTGTCCCCGTACGAAAATGTCAGATGGGAGCGGTCCCAGTTTGGGTCCGCGGGGTTCTAAACTTCTGGACAGTTCCGATCAGCGCGATTCTGGGTCTAACCAGTCGAATCCAGGGAGACGCAACGCACTGGAATCGCACGGTGATCGGTGAATCTGATCCGCTCCCCTTGTTCCAGTAGGGTCCGCTCCCAGCCAGCGGCCAAGGTATACACCAACTCATGTTTATAAACAAACCGGAGCGCCCCTAGCGGACGCCACCGGTGCCGCGCATGCGCGATGGGGGTGTGGGCAAGAAGCTCGCCGTCGCCCATAAACAAACCATTGAAATGCGATGTTGTCGGCGTCGGTGCGAGTCCCCCTGCCCTTTTTCGCGTTCGCATTGTTGATTCCACGTCTTCCTGGCAAGGTCTGACTACTTCAGCGGCGTCAGCGAAATTACCGAGGCTCGTTACACCGCAAAACTTCGCGTGAATAATGTGACATGCGGCGACTCATACCGCGTGGACGCCGCAGAATGTACGCTAAAGCCTGAGTCGCATGATGAGATTTCGCTCACAATTCTCAGTCCGGACGTCGGTCGGGCTGCAAAAGCGTGAACCGTAGCTGAGATGGTCGACGTCGATGCTGAAAATCTCAAGCGGAATCGGACCAAGTGAATCAGGCATAACAATTCGGTGATGGCCACTGGTAACAATTATCAATGCATCCTTGTATCTACTGTTTACATCCAGCCTGGTACCAACCTTCAAACTTGAGTCTTTTGAGGCCTGCACTTACTTCTTGTCACAAGTACCGGACCCACGTTTGGACAACGGGCCGGTGTCGTCTAAAAGAGCAGACGACAAGCAGAAATGTTTGAAAGAGCAGACGGCAGTTTAAACAGTCAAGCGGCCGTTTGAACTTGAAGACGCACTGAGCGTAGTCCGCAGGTGGTCCGTACAACCTCGCGGTTTTCCGCCGTTCACGTTTTGAACAAAACAAATACATTTGATGACCAGAAGTATCCGTGAATTCAATCCAAAGTGCTTCCCGCCCAAGCAATCGTGGTCGGCGGCGTCTGGTTTTCCCTTTTCACGGCACATATCCACCATCTCGGACGAACCGAGCACATGAAAACTGGCCTTCAAACCTTTCTCGACTCTTTTAGTACAGCCCCAGTCGCGGCGTTTTGACGAGAAGGCAGGTTTTTGTCAGGTTCCTTTCAAAACAACACGTCTCGCATGGGGACTTCTGCCCACAGCTCCAGACCGGAAGTGCGACTGACGCGCCACCACCGCGCCATGACGTAACAGAGATGAGTTCGTGTATATGTACATGGGTAGCGAAGCTTCCATAGAAGTACAGAGGCTAGAAAGGGTTTCCTAGTGTCCCGAGCGTACGCTCTTTCAAGCGGCCACGGAGAAACCGGTTTGGATGACGCGCGCAGGTGGCGCTGCGTCCAGCAGGCGCGCTATTCTCCCCGTAGGCGGCCCGGGCGAAAATGGCGGAAGCACATGTTTCCGTGTGACAAAACCGAGCCGTCCGAGGGTCTTCCTTTGTTGTTTGTGCGGATCTGTGGATTACATCGCGGTGCACAACGAGAGACCAACGGTGTGTCATGCGTCAGTGTGTTGGATGCATCTGATCATGCCGGCGAAGAAAGGTAGGACCTGCTTCGTGCCGTTGTGCAAAGGCGGCTACAAATCGGCTGCAGAAAAAGTATCGTTGTTCCGGGCTCCAGTCGACCCCCTTCGTCGGCAAGAATGGGCGAGGAACATCAAGCGAGAAGACAAAGTTCTCGACGAAACCTGTGTCGTGTGTTCCCGTCACTTTGATGAACGCTACATAGAAAAAACTTTCAAGCACGTCATCAATGGCGAGCTCGTCGAGCTGGACCGCGAACGGCCAGTGCTCACCGACGACGCCGTCCCTACGATATTCCCCGACGCCCCCTCGTATCTGACAAGGCCTGTCCCCAAAAAGAGGGAAGAAAGGAACCTCGCTGACCGTGGTACCCCACCAGTGAAACGCAGGGCTGCAAGCGGATCCACGCATGACTGTGATCCTGGAAATGCCTGTACAGAACCAGCGCCGGAGACGCACCCGTTCAGCGACATTCTGCCACCCTCGATGTATTGCAGCAGAATCATTTTATCGAACGATCCAACGGCATTGTGCTTTGGATGGCACGCCAGGATGGAATCAGACGATGTGCGTGTCATAAAGCACGTTACGTTCTCGGCATGTGCCGAAGCCACCGCTGCACAGGGGAGCGCATACCTTTGCGCCATATATTGCCGAGGCATCAAAGTCGAAGAAATTTGTGTAAGTAGACGAGATGACGCCCTTGGGGCATTGAAAAAGGCCGAGCAATTGCTTCTTTGCCCAGGCTGTGAAATTGAGCCAGTGGCAGCTGGTCAGTGTGTCCAGTTTGGTTCCATGCACTTCGCAAAAAACTGCTGTGTGACAACACCTGACGGGAGAGCTTGTTTACGATGCAAATACACAAAAAAGCTCATCCAAAACCAGATGTACAGGCTCAAGAAGAAACGTCGAACGACATTTCAGCAACGGATTGCCAGGAAGTCCCTTCAGCTGTTCCGGGCGAAAAAAAGGCTAGAAAAAGCCCAAGAAAGTGTTGCAAAGCTTCGAACAGTCACAGAAACAATTTCCAGCTCAGTTTTGGAGGAGAAAATCAGGAGCCTCCCGCCAAAGCAGCGTCTTGCTGTAAGAACCTGTTTTGAGGCGGCATCCAGAAAATCAAGCCGAGGCATGGCGTACGACATGCAGTGGGTCCTGGAGTGCATTTTGATGCGCATGAGAAGCCCCCAACTCTACGAGTATGTTAGAAGACACAAGATTCTTGCCTTGCCGAGCAAATCATGCCTGGACAAACACATGCAGGGATTTAAAAGCACGTTTGGTTTCAACACTAGTGTGTTTTCAGCTTTGGAAAAGAAAACACGAGACATGGACGAGTTCAGCCGCCATGGTGGTCTTGTGTATGACGAGATTAAGCTCTCCGAGAACATCAATGTGACGGCATCTGGCGAACTGAGTGGCTTCGTTGACCTCGGTCCTTTCATGGAGGATAGCAACGAGACAGCACTGAGTGACCACGGCCTCGTCGTAGTATTTCAACCCTTTAAAGGCAAGTTAATTTAAATAAGTATGTCGTGACGGCAATACAATTGTACGTCTTTTTTGGTTGTTGTACATCCTAGAGCCTAGTCCACCTAGTGAAGTTTGTGATGTCATTTACAACATATTTACTTCAGTGATGCCTAAGCCGTGATTTACATTTTTATATTTCTCACAGTGAAACATCTTATTTTTGCAGGAAAGTGGACACAAATCCTCGGAGTCTTTGCTTCCAGAGGCAATGTAAAGGCGCCTGTCCTCTCGAAGATTCTCCTGGAGGCTACGATACTGGCTGAAAATTCCGGCCTCTTCGTCGATTTCTGGACAAGTGATGGTGCTCCCTGGAATCGCTGTCTCTGGAAGCTGCTCGGCATCAAAGGTGGATAATTTCCGTCCCAGAATCACAGTGAAAGGCTTTTCTTGCTTATCTCCTGTTATTCACAGATATTCCTTACTTGTGCAGCTTCGTCTAAGGAAATCACCTGCAAGGTTCCCCATCCTGTCGACACAGCAAGGAGACTACACTTCATCTCCGATTTTCCTCATCTGATCAAATGCGTGCGGAATACTTTTGTCTCAAAAGGCGTACAGATTCCATGTGGTCATGCTCATGTTGATGTCATCAAAGAGGCATGGAAAAGGGACAAGGAAGCATTGACACTGAAAGTGATGCCACACATAACACAGGCACATGTACAACCGAACGCGTTTGAAAAAATGCGTGTGAATTTGGCTTTTCAACTGTTCAGTCAAGAGGTGTTGAAAGGGCTTTTCTTTTATAAAGGTGACTTGGAAAGAAGGTTCAGAACAACGGAGCCAACAGAGCAGTTTGTGAAGCTGATGGAGATGTTGATTTTCGTGATGTCATCCAGGGTCCCGTCTAAGGGCCTTCGAGCCCAGTCAGGAAGTGCCCAGTTTTTGAAAAAGTTCATTGCCTTCTTAAGTGAATGGGAAGAGTACGCTGCCCAACACGGTGGTGGATTCCTAAGCGCAGGGACTGCCCTTGGACTCCGTGTGACTCTACAGAGCACACTGTCACTTCTGGACTATCTGATTACCTCAGTGCACTACAAGTACTTGTTGACTGCAAACCTTGGTCAAGATAAACTAGAAAACATCTTTGGGATTGTGCGACAATCCTTTGGATGTAATCACCACCCCTCCCCTGAGCAGTTTTTGGTCATTATTAACAACCTAACTTTCTACAGCCTTGCAAGACCACCAAAGAATGGAAACTCGCCAGCTGAGCTTGTAATTGCACTTTTGCAGCCATCTGATGCTGGAAAAGAAAAGGCTGCTCGTGTAACGGCACTCGTTGATGAACTGTTGGACGAGGGAAGTCTGACTCATGCCGCAGTTGTGCTAAAAGAGCACAGTAGCCTGATTGACCACCACGTCTGTGTCGAGAAAAGAAGTGACAGTCGGCTGATATATTACGTAGCGGGTTACGTTGTCCGCAAGTCCCTCAAAAAATTCCCGTGCCCAGAATGTGCATCTTGCTTGAGTGTCCTGCCCCTGCAGGCTGAGTGCAATGGCAACGCCTCATTGACGAGAGAATTCAATCATGGGGGTTTGCTGTACCCTTCGAAACCACTGGAGGCACTGGTAACCAGACTGGAAAACGCCTTCACTGTTTTCTTTACCAGAAACAAGCTGCATGCTAAGAGCATGATCTGTTTCCTGCGCTTCCTTCAGGGGCATGCACTGCAGGAAGTTGGCTGCAGTGAGCATGGGCGCTTGGTCACAGCAAATGTCATCAAATTCTATGCTCTGACCAGGGTGCATTTCTTTGCTAAGGCTGTTAACAAGGATCGAGATTCCCAAAGGGAGAAGCAAAAATTGCTCAAAATGAGGCGATGCCGGTGAGGACCGGACTGCGGTACTGGAGAGGCAGAGCACACCAAATAAATTTTTCGCGAACAAAGACCTGGAATAGACATTTAGCTTTGTGATGTTTTTTGTGGATAATTCGCAAGTTTGTATGCTCTTTTCCTTTGCTTGCGCGAATATACCTTTAATTCGTTTCCCGAGCAATGAGGAGATGAAGGGGTTGTTTGTTACGCGCGCTGCGCTTGCTGGCGTCTGCAACGGTCGATTAGTAAAATAAAAATAAATGTCATGTTGCACACACTCTCGTCATCATCTCATTTTAGCGATTTACTTCCAACCTTACATAAAAGGCGAGCGCGTGCAGCAGATGAAATTACACTCAAGGCTTCTCTATTGACCGTACCGCTCCGCGCGGTCTGTCTCAAGCGCGCTGCGGAGAACGCCCGCCGAAGCAGAGAGGTTTTGCAAGACTCGTAGAGAAGTGGTCTTTATATATATATATATATATATATATATATATATATATATATATATATATATGCGTGCGTGAAGATTAAACGATAGCGAGCGCAACAACAGCCACACATTTACATCCGGAGACACGTCTCCGGTTGAAAATCGCGCGCCTACCGCCAAGCGACAGCGCGCCTGCAGGCAGCAGCGCCACCTGCCCGCGTCATCGCAAAATATTGCCGCTCCTCGGCCGCGTTGACGACACTAGGAAACCCTTTCTAGCCTCTGTAATAGAAGCCCACATGTCGAAAAAATGGCGGCCCATGGGGCTGCTTTAGCGCCATCTATGAGTCGTGGGGACACTTCCGGCGGAACAAAAAATAAGCAGGAAGTGACGACACTTCCGAAAAAAACGTGACATAATGCGTGCGTGCGGTTTGGCGCTAAAATTAAACAAAAAGAATTCCAGACTACAGGTAAAATGAACGACATATACACTAAAAAGTATCAAACATAGCTCTGTGTCTGAGCTGTTTGATACTTATTAGCGTGTGTGTCGTTCTTTCTACCTGTAGTCTCAGGTTTTTCTTGGGATGTTTACTCCATAGTGGATCGTTTACGCCCCTATTTGAACTTGCTCTTATATTTTGTTCGAAATGTTTTTTCTGCAGCGACTTTGTTAGCCGACCTGCTACTAGAGTAGTTTCATTTCGTCACACCATCGTGTCTTTGCACTGTGGTTAAACTCGAACCGGTGTTTTTCTCTTTGTTCCTTCAGGATCCCTTGGAAATATGTGGGAAACCTTACATCGAATGATGTAATTTCACAAATAAAAGAGTGAATCAAATTGCTGGAGTGTGTTGCGTATGAAATACACTACGGTAACTCTAATGAAAGTCCAACGTTGCATTAACAGTTGCGTTTTATTTGTTTCATTCACTTACAATCATTCAATCAGATTACTCTCTAGAATCATACAACCGATATTCACCATTTTGAATGTGTAATGGTGGAGGAAAGCTAGTAGATCGGTACATATGGCACATTATAACATAATAAGACAATATACAATCGGCTGGATGTTTTGAGGACATTGACAGTTTACAGGCAGCCGCTAATAACGCAGGTTTCACAGTGTTTCGAGGACAACTGTGGTCACCACAGTAATACACAGAAATAAACTACACTCGTCTACGCAGTCCTTGGGCACTGTACCATAATGCTGAAGATATTTTAACTTGCATCTGCTGGTGCTGGTACACTGCAACGCAACGATTTTTTAGTGCAGGTCAAACAAGCCAAGTGGAGTAAACCGTCTTAGAGCCCTCTGGTATGCTGCGCTTCATAAGCCAGTGTTGCTTCACAGCTTTAAACGCTATATATGTGAACCACCTAGAAGGCTACATTACTCCTCAAGGAGCCGAAGAAAATTAAAGGTTCGAATAGAACATGCCCACACTGCTTTAAGAAGTACTCTGGGTGGTCTCACATATGTAGCCTGTACACTTGCTGCCTAGCTTTACACTTTGCTGCTGTATTCATCTCCGACCAAACCGGCTCACATTGCTCATTCTATGCTGGGCTTCAAAGAGTGCAGCGACAGCAGGAGACACATGAACGCGGCGCTCTCAACGACTTCGGCAACAGTCCTCATCTGACGTTGCCGTTGCAGCCTTCTTTTCAGCCTCTTGTTACGCTCTTGAAGCTGTCGCACCTTGGTTCTCAGGGTGTTCACCTCCTTCTTGTCGATGCTGCCGCTTTTGCCGGGTGCTGCAATTTGACAAATAAACCAGTTCAGGTCTCCAAGAAAAACTTGCATTTGCCATCAATTTATTAAATGTGTAATCTATTCACACTCAAAAATACTCCTCAATAATTCGAAGTGTCTTTAAACAAGAACAGCAAGTATGACAGACTACACATATGCAATTCAAGTTAAGGAAAGCAGCGGTACATCTCTATGTCGGACTAGGCGCTTCATGCTAGCCAGAGACCTGATAGTCCAGAAAGACAAGGGCGCACAAAGAAACATGCAAGCCAGAATAGGCATCCGAACTGTGAAATGAATTTTTTAAAGCTTGACTATATCTTACTTATGTCTATGGCACTGTAACAGTGAAACGCTCGCACATAAACAGGCAACTAATGTTTGGCAGATAGGACAAGGGACCATGACAGGCTCAGCATCACACACATATGATCAGGGCAGCTTTTCGATAGCTATAGAAAACACTGTCTTACGTGAGGTTTTGCGGGAAGACTTATGATTTAGTGAAACCGGTAGAGCTGTTTTGATTTGATGGTGTTAACACCCACGTGTGGAACATTTTTTTTTGTATTTTTGTGAGCTTGACAATGACAATATACCATGAAACACAAAAATCTGGTGAACTTTGAACAAACTTCGATTTGTAGCTGCCAGCTACCCGATCTTGTGTTATGTGATCCCTCGCGCCATCATCTCTCAAGATAAAGTTTAGCATCCGCTGGTCTTTTTCGAGCCTTGGCTTTTTAGTTTTGTGGTCTGACATTTTTTTAATTTCACAAAACAAACTGCAAAAGAAAAAAGTTAGCATAATAGTAACCACTCACATTTGTAAGGAGGCTCAGCAGCGCAGCCAGAGAGATAGTCTCTAGGCGACGGTGAAGAAACCAAAATCTTCATGGCAGCAACGTCCCCGCTGGACTCTTGAGCAGGAGCAGCACCATGACGTAAAGCGTAGCTGTGATCAACTGCAAAAAAAGAAAGGTTTATACAAAAACTGTAAGTAAGAAAGCAAGTTCAACAAAGCGGGAAGTTGGGCGAGTTGGTTGTTCATCTTAGCTGGCAGAAACAGTGCCTCTCTGTGTACTTTTACAGCGACTGTCTGTATACTCCTTGTTTCTTGTTCTTCGTCAAGTTGCGCTGTTTCTACCAGTTAAAAAAAGCAAGCTCACAAAAAATGGGAATAAAAGGATAGCACAAACAATATTCGGCCACCACTTATTATAGGCCCCTAGTGGACTGTTACCTAATAAGGTGCACGAGTATGTGTGGTCCAATGAAGCCGCAGATATCTGCTCTGCAAATTTAATGTGCACTTAGCGAAGGAGAAGAGGTTGAGGTCCTCCCTTATTCCCCTATCTGACCACATAAAGAGGAAATTCACCTTCGTTCCATGACAGATTTATTTCAGAAGACTGGTGGTCAGGAACTCCGCGAGTCTGAGCGGCCGGAGTACGTGCAGCTCGATGAGGCTGGCGAACTCCTCTCTGCAAATTTAACATGAAGTTAGTCATGGAATAGTAGCTGAGTTCCTTCCTATGTGTCTATTCTAACACACAAGGAAAATCCCACGAAACTTCCATTTCGGAAGACTGATCGTCAAGATAAACCACAGAAGCTCCGTGAGTCTGAACTGCCGAAGTATGTGTAGCTCGGTGAGGGTGGCGAACTCACTTCTGCAAATATATGGTGAATTCGCCTATTTTAACACAAAATGTAAATCACTTTCTTTCATGCAGCTTTATTTTGGAAGACTGAGTGTCGGCATGTCAAAAGATGCTCTGTGGACCGTTATTGACGCTGATTATGTCACCTCAAATAAAACATGTCATTATAAACGGGCCTGAAATGAACTTCTAGCAGTACCTCTGACCATGTTCTATCAACTTTTTCCAACTAATCTCACCTAGTTCTATTGCAAAATGCTCAGGTCATGAATACCATGAGGTAATGCAGTGGTGCTGGCAGTTGCTGTTACTTTATGTTAACAACACTGAAAAAGCTCACCATGCTCAAGTGCTGAACCTGGAGAGCTTTTGCTGGAAATTGCGCCATGTGTTGTCTCCGCAAATAATATAAAAAATGTTATGAGCCCACAGAAGCAATATTTGAGCCCCATGTGCTAACTATTTTTCTAAGAGCGGGTTAACCATGCTTGGTCACAAAGTGCACGGAAGGTTTATTGGGCTGCTTAGCTTTTGTGGGAAGCATACTTGCCAACGCATTGTGACGGAGGTGTCCAGGCCGCAGGAAAGCTGACTCCTCAAAATGTAAGGAGCAAACTATCCTGTCTCGTAGCTGCCATGGAGTCTTCCCCTGTAAACTTCGGTTGTTGCAGAACCGAACCCAGGCTTCGCGCCTGCAGATAAGGCATGGTGCTATGTGGGTGCCATGAATAATTACGAAAAGAAAATGCAGCCAAAATGTCCACAAACCAAAGTAAACGAGAGCAAGGACATTAACAAATGCATTACATCAACGCTCTGTGTTCATCATGAAGAGTAAAAGCACAGGTCTTACGCACAGATGCCCTACTATATATTTGCGTTGTACCACTGATAACCACGCCGATGATCACGGCACTAGGCTCCTCAGAGCCAGGCCGGTACAGGTAAATTTGAATATCGTGGGCAATTTTATAATGAGGGCACATAACGCTGCGAAGTCGACATTCTTAGTATAACATATTACGCCTTCATGTGTAGTTTCTTGTGCACATACAGACAACCCTAATAGTTTTAGGTAAAACTAACAAAAGTTAAGCGAACACCGAAAAGGGGGCATGGCATCACACAACAGGCATGTTACTGACACTAGCTAAGTCTCACCTTCGAAAGTCGAGGGGAAACCGGTGCAGCGAGATGCCAGCCGTGCCGGTGTCGCTTTCACACACTTCCACGGAGCACCGTTTCCTTGCGTATCGCGCTGTGCACATCATCGCACGTTGAGCCCCTTGGACCTGTAGTCTGTAGTGTCCAAGGTCCAAGCGCACGACTGCCAAGTTCCGGCGCAAGTAACTGGGCTAATCACGCCCGAGAAAACAATAAAACTTCCGAAACTGTGTTAACTGCCGCTAAAACAATTAAAAGCACGTGGAGGCCCAAACACAAGCAAGCAGACGGACTTCAGTAGCCTGTCTTTCCGCGCGCCACGAAGTCTACAGAAAAGAAAACTGCGAATATCACTATTGCTAGCCGGCCTTCTTGCTAGTGGCGTACAGAGGACGCTAATAAGAAGTATGCATATTATTAGCAAAAACACGGACAGTCTTGAATTTTGTAGCGCACCAAATATAATTGATAATATCTAATAATTATATTTAGCTTGTTTAAAAATACAGATGATCATATTTCTAGTCACAAACTAATTAGTTTTAATAATGTTTGTCCCCACCTCTCCTAGTCGCGCTTCAATCGCATCCTTCACGTGACCCTCCAGGTCGATGTCGCTGGCGATTTGTTTTGAACCGCTTTTTGGCCGAAGCTTCGCTACCGGTGTAGGACGCCGATCTCACTACCCCTCTGCTTCGACTACGGTAGTGGTTATGGCGTACGCCAAAATCAATACCGTAGTCATTTCGGTGTACGCCATAGTCAATACCGTAGTCTTTTTCGCATACCCCAAACACACTACCCTTACGCCAAATTCAATACCTTGAATAACGTCGGTTCAGCAGGGGTTGAGCCAGTTGAGCTCCGCATTTCGCTAAAACTGGCGGAAGTAACTTTCTGCAGCAAAATACCCTGATTGTTTGTTGTTGTTTGTATGAGCAGCGGAACGCGCGCGTTGATACGGCTATATACGGCTGACGGCACAAGCAAGGAAGCTTAGAGTGATTCTGTGTGAATGTGATTTGACATCGCTTCTTTCTGTTTCTTCGATCGTGGTGCAAATGCAGGTGCCCGACTCCCGAACGATTCGAAGGCAAGAGTGGTAGCCCGCCTGTCCGCTGGTCTCAATCGCATGCACTGTCGTCGTTTTGGGCACATCGGAAGAAAATAAGACGCTCACTATATTAAATAGCGTGCGATCGGCCTGTCTAGGTTCTGGCGACACCGTTTCAGGCTGTATATGAGAAAATTTAGCCACTACAGTACGACTGCTAGCCTGGGGTATGTGCCTCACAACAGATCGAAACGCGGTGGGGGTGGGGATCCCTGGCAGCGGGACCTTTCGCTGTACGAGCTGCGGTGCGCTAACACACTCGACCTCCGATACCCCCTTGGGTCACAGCGCTTGCTGAAAGAAGTTTGGATCGTTTTACGCAGATTTTGCAGTGCGTACGAGACGCACAACTGCTACGTACTACGTCCTAGATGCCCAAACTGAGGCTCGCTACTTGTGCGCACAACTGCTACGTACTACGTCCTAGATGCCCAAACTGAGGCTCGCTACTTGTGCGCGGCTCTCGTGATCTGGAGAACAGTATGCTCGCCATGAAAATGTTGCAGTGAGAAGTACGGAAAAGTAATATTATAAAAGTAGAGTATTTAAAACTGCCTTGCATTGTCACTGAACATATGAAAACAAAACTGATTAGGAATGCCGATCAGATCGGGTGGGAATGGGATATAGATCTTTAAATAGGCTCGGGTTATGTGCGAAGTTGCGAACAGGTGGGCAGGGGTGCTATATTCTCCATCCCCCACATAATTCAAACTCGTTGCCCCCATCCCTGTTCCTATATTCTTCCAATGTGGCAGGTTCTTTTTTTTTTTTTTTTCTTTGTGCCTAGAGCTGCAGTTTTCTATGCTTCATCTCCCCTTAGCATGGACTGTTAGCCAGATTCTACAAGTGTGAGCTAATTGCTTTGGATCACACCATGGCGGTTGCACGAGCGCTCATTTTCTGCAAGCGCTGTGAAGGCAGTCGAGGCTATACCATCTTGCGCTTGCGCAGCCTTTGCGGTTTGAGGTCCTTTGTTTTGGCCTGTTCTTTTGTGTCTGGGTTTCATGTCCTTTTTGTTTTTTGTTTCGTGTGCTGGGTATGGTTGGAAGTTATGTTACACCTAGTAGTAGGATCTTTTGTAGAAACATTGGTTTGAGAGTAAATGGTTCTAGTACCTTCTTTCTTTTCCTTTGGCCGAGCAGAGAGGGAAAATGGTTTCTTCATGTCGACTTCGGGACAGAAAATAACCCACGATCGGGACAAAGGCAAGTTTGGGGAAACCGTATCTACACACACAGCGAAAAAGTACACCCCTGGACGTGTAAACCGTTGTCCCAGGGCGGACTCCCCAAATGGTGCTCGTTTTACACGCGAGGCTCGGTGTATTTCGTTTGCACCCGAGGTCTCGTGTAAAATGAACATCTTTGAACGTGTACTTCGTTCTGCGATCACACGTCTAGGGGTGTTTTTTTACAATGGCGGCCGTTTGACGCAAGACGGGTTCGACGAGCGAGGCCCAGCGCTTTACACGGCTTTTCGCCGCAGCGAAAGCGTAGTTTGCACGTGTTCGTTCGTAATCGTCCATACGTGCTGAACTACTGCAAGCATTCACCCCCAAGCGCCGACGCCGTATCCATTACGGCGATTACGCGACAGTGGGAGCGACCATCGACTGCATCCAGCAGCGTGCTTCCCCATCGAGCAGGTCTCGTTCGCGTGGCGGTTCAGCCGATCGCCGAGGCCTCAAGCCGGTTGCATTGTCACCGACGCCGGGTAATTTCCACAGCAGTTATCTTTTCGCGACCACAGACATGAACTTTATTGAAAAAGCCCGTTTGCCGCGAGCGACGACGAATAGCTCCGACACCGACCCGACCCGACCCTACCCGACCGGCGTTACCGACGTCCCGCTCACCTCTTTACCGCGAGCAAAGTTGTACGCGACGTTTCGACGTATCCACTCATATCTCGTGTGTACGCTAATTTTGCGGCTTTCCGGGTACGAATCGGCTACCGAAACGGCCAGCGAACGAAGACGAGCTGAGCGCCGGCGCTATGCGCCATTTAAACACGCGGTTACTTTTCTACTAGACTGTAGCTATGTGGTGTGGTTCCTTACACATAAATGGACTATGTACAAACAAAGCTAAAATAAAATTGGGCGGCTGCTTGCGCCACCTAGTGAGTATGCGGAAAACTACAAAAATGAAGGACATTTTGGCATTTGTGGAAGTGACACGCTCGAACACGGACGGTAGCATACCAACACATACACCACAGAACATACCACAAGATCAACATACAAGCATGTACATACACAAACAACCAACAGAGGCACTAACAACCCGACACTCCTACTCAATTGCAATAGAAACCCGCTCGGTATATATAGCAGACTTTTTGTTTCAGACGAAGGTTCGGTGACACCCCCCGTATTTTATATGAACGTAACGATATTACACAATTATTACTTATATAGTACGGCGACATAAATATAATTTGGGAAGGTACACATTTCTCTTAGTCTAGATTATAGCTAAAAGACACCCTATATTAAAAAAAAAATGTTTCGAGCTAGCCAAAATGTAGCAAAACCTGGTTTCGTTTTCGGAAGTTCGAGCGCTCAAGGCTGGAATGCGCTAGCGAAGTGTGTGCTTGCTTCTGTCAAACTATAATCCATTGTATGACGCTCTCAAAGCTGCTGGCTGCAGCCCCCGTCTTGGATTAGGGTTTGATTTACACGCGCTCCCGTGGAAATGAAATTATGCGCGCTCGAGTCGATATTATTGACAGCGTGAAGTATAAACCGAATGTAAACGATTTTGCGAGCGACGAGAACGGCGACGGCGACCCGCTTCGCTGACGCTCGGTCACTCGCGCGACGACGCAAGCCGCATGAAAGCGGAACGATGTTTTCTAGAAATCCAAAAACCGAGTGACGCGACGAGCGATAGTAAGAAATCTTCGTGATACGTCGCTGACTCGTCGCTGTCGCCGTCGCTCGCTAAATCGCTTTACGCAGTTCAGCCTTTATACTCACGCTAGTGCCGACCTGCATTACCCGCTGAGCCCAAGCAAGCGATAAGGATATTCAAATATGTCACAACAGTGGCGTGCATTCGCTAAGAAAACATATATCTCAAATTCCTACAGTTTGACGTCGGGATCCGTTACTTGTTCTGCTGTCACCTTGGCGAAACGGTCACTAAAGAGAAACTAGTCAGTTTGTTTTATCGGAAATTATAAAAACCTTATCTAGCCACTGTTATGCACAAAAGCACTCTGGAATTTTATATAAATAGTTTAGAATAAACTGAACACAATCGGTAACTTAATTTTTTAAGCATAATAATAAAAAAAAAATCTTAGAAAACAATGTATTTTTAAGGTGTTTCAAATAAAAAAACTGAAAAAGGAGCCTTATTTCAGCTGCACTATCACGTAAATACTTTGGGAAAAATATATCTATTGAGAAGTAGGTTTTGCAATCTCTAATTTGCTTCTTTCAACTTTCCAGTTACTTTATGCGTACTTGCAGATTGTATCCTGACAAATCTAGACAAAATTGTATAAAAAGTAAGTCTATATAAAATTTATAGCTTAATTAAATTCACATTTGTTTGATAATGTTCAATCTTAAATATGAGTTTTAAATTTCACATCTATTATTACAAATGATTGAATTACATGCTGCTTGATGCATGCTGTGCCGCCCCCCCCCCCCCCCCCCCCCCTTTTAAATATATATATCCTGTATATTTGCTGGTTAGTTGTTGTAAACCTCTTAATGTCGTGTTATTTGTTTGTTGTTGTAGGTGTGTGAATGCATATGTTGTACCCCACTCCTACTTGGGCCTTCAATGGCCAGTAGTATCCTCTAAATAAAATGAAAAACACAAGTGCACGCAGTAAAAATCTGGACGACAAAAGTAAACACAGAGCCGTGCAAAAAGGCATTCAGTATATGAAACAGATACAGATATGGGCCTCTGGCGGTCCATCGGTTCAGCCTCCACACCGCCTAAAGACGGCAGTGTTGCAATATTACGAACCAGCGCACAGGTAGACAGTTACCAAAAATCCAAACACAAAAAACTCACATCAGCGCTGTGCGAGTGTATATTTTTGTGTATTTGGATTTTGAGTAACTGGTCTACCTGTGCGCTGGTTCCTAATTATGCCGTACCAACTCGCCCAATCTTCCGTATTAATAGTGTTGCAAAATACTTAGATCAACTATAATGCTAATGAC